CCACAGTCCTGCTCCCCGTGTTCTACGTTCTGCTGAAGTGCCCTCACTTAGGGCAAACTCGCACGAGTACTCCAAAAAGTGTATCCAACTGCAATTACGGCCAAAGCTTGTTTTGTTTTTTGGGATGTACGGATTTGAGATGGGCCCAAAAAATTGAAAACCTGCTGACGCTCCAACCCTGCCCCGAGCCCGCCTTTTACTTTTTGTGGCAACAAGTTATTTTGCTGCAAGGCTGAGGCCGTGTACTGGTGGTTTAAAGCAAATCAAGAATTCAGTAGTGTGAGAGTCCCAGTTCCCGCACGGGGTAGGTTCCCCAAAAAACAGTAACACGGAGAAATCACTAATTCGTAAAAGATCCGTATCTATGACATCAGCGAGATCGATCGAGACCACGCAATCAGATCGAAGCAGATAACCAGCAAGGCAAATCCATTCCACAGGCTGTAGCCCATCGAAAACACAGGGCAAGTTATCCCAAGCACTTAGCAAGGCAAATCCATTCCACAAGCTGTAGCCCATCAAAAACACAGGGCAAGTTATCCCACGCACTTTCAAAACACCACCCTGACTCGACGAATGGAGAGACAAAATGCAACCCACGGGATCAACGATTCCGTCTCCTGACCGGTCACATCGATATTCTTTACAAAATTTAAAATTAAAAATTAAATTCAACAAGACGGGAGGCCAGCGCCGCTTCGCCTGTGTGATAAAGTTGTTTTACATATTGTTGTAGGTTAGGTTGACATTTGAGCACACGACAGTGAATAGTTACTAATGGTAAAAAAGGTCGGAGCAGGTAAGGTATAGGCGAAAGGTTGCATACAGTGGTATGAGCATGATGGGTGACGAGAAGTGAGAGGTCCAAATCACAATGCAGTTTAAATTTCCATGACAATACAACGTATGAATTGTGCAGTAGCAACACCATCGTGACCGAAGAATGGATTGAGTTCTTTCAGTGCATATATAGTCTTTTTTTTTTTTTGAACAAAAAGAGGACCTTATGGTCCTGGCTCCTTTCCATTCTGGGGAGCATCAGTCCGGTTCCTATGCCACCGGCAAGTCAGAATAGACGTTACAATAAGAACCACCCACGCTTCCTTCCATCTGGCTAAAGTACCCCTGAGCAGCATTGATTGCTCCACCTTGGTGGAGGATTGACTGCCAGCTTGCCATGCCTCACTCTTTCCTCTCAGACCTGATAACCAGACCCATGCCACCTAAACCCTAACCCCTAAACCAGAACCGCGCAATTTCTCATGGAGTGCAATGTAGGACGCAGCAGCGCTCTTGAATTCGTCAAAAGTCGTGACTTCGTCATGGCCTTGGCGATAGTAGTCGACGTAGAGCATGGCTTCGAGTGCACTCCATTCATTTGTGTTCTCAATCCTTGGAAGAAGAGAGTGTGAGTTTTTGTGGGATTGTGATTGAGTCGAACGGCGCAACCCGACTTCCAACGTGAAGAAGATTATGTGCGGGTGCAACACTTCTGCCATCAGACGAAGATCCGTTAAGAACAGTTTTGTGTCCTCGGTGTGTGTTCTGTGGAACAACATCACGATCGCTCGACTAGGACAGGGTAGATTTTTTAGCAGCGGTGATTGGCTCGAAGGGAACGATTGGCTCCACGTATGAAAGGTAGTTCTGGAGGTTCGATGTCCTTGATGACGAAGTCTTGTCATCATTTTGTGCATTGAGAAGCGAATGTAATAAGCAAAACTCGGGGGAGAAGTGGGGGCTTGTGCTCAATGTGATTTCGGCGTATGTTGCAATTCGGGGGCATACAGGAAGAGCATACGCGTGCATGTCACTCGTAGGATCCATCGGGACACGAATCGGAGGTTGAAAAGAATAGTCGAGGGGGGGTGATTGAAGTGTGTGACGCACATTATTTCGTGGCGGTGTTTCTTTCACTGGCATCTAGCAACCCTTGCGTTTCGGCCTTTTCTTCCAAGGCGTGACAATGTTGATGACACTTAAGTTTTGAGACTGGTTGTTCGGCTGCTGGTTAGCTGTTGGTAGTTGAACCTGAAATTGGCGGAGGTGTTCTGCATCCGAAGCTAATGTTGAGGCGTGCATGCGAAGGTTGGTTGTGTTCACTGATTGATCAGCAGCAGGAATATTGGACGTAGTGTAGCCAACCGAGCGTGAAAAAAAAAAACAAAAAAAAACGAAGTACACATACATAAAATAATGAGAATGAGCGGACAAACGACAAACTTGCATAAGGCGATGAAGCAGCAAGGTTGTCGGTTTGTAGATGACCTACTATAAACATTGTAAGCGTAAAGCAACCTCATACTGTAAGTAAAACCATCACATGTTTACAAATGCAAGAAAGAGCGGTGAAGAACACATGATATTATCATGAGCAAATTGGGCATTTTTAACGAACAAAATATTGGCCAATTACGAAGAACTAATGTAGACCTATCACGTCTAGGGATCATAAACACATCGAGCAGCAACCCCAAATGCAAGATGTATGAAGCATTTGCGCATAATGGAGTGAGCATGAATCCTTGCTTAGTGCTGCATACGTTAACCCTCGGTGGATCTTGCATTTGCTCTTGATGCTTCATCAGTTTATGATCGAGACTTTATAGCTTGATGTGCAGTACTTTCATATGTATATACCAAGCACAGGTCCTCCTGAAAAGAGCATACAACAAAGAATAGACAGTATAGGTCCCCGAAGCATTGAGCATAAGGCAACTGAAGTTCGCAGTGAAAAAGCAAACATAAAGCAATGAAGCATGGATCACAACGCCTTAAAACAGCAAGCATACACACTACCGAACCGAGGCTAATGCCATGAAGTCCGAGTATCGAAAGGTAAATGAGGAAGCGGACTGCATTAATGACCCAAAATAAACCAATTCTGCAGCCAGTCTAAACCGGCCAATGGCCGATCATTATGCGTTAACCAGCGAGCAGCAATATATGAAGACTCCACCCTAAAAAGACGAGCATAACCAATGAGAAAAGAAACCTGCACGCAGGTCGACCATGGAAGAGCAAGCATCGAGGACCAAGTGATGTATGACCGCATATAAACCCATCTAGCGATTCAAGTAGCCGTGAAGTTGGGGAGGCCGTGTAAGACGTAAATGGCGACGGCTATAATCCACACGACTATGGAACAGCGGACGGAAACGCACCAAACACACACGAGAAAGGTGACCGAGAGCAAGCATAAACCCCATAACATCTGTAGACCTATCAGGTCTAGGGATCATAAACACATGGAGCAGCAACCCGAAATCCAAGATGTATGAAGCATTTGCGCATATGGGAGCGAGCACGAATCCTTGCTTGGTGCTGCATACGTTAACCCTCGGTGGACCTTGCATTTGCTCTCGATGTTTCATCAGTTTATGATCAAGACTTTATAGCTTGATGCGCAGTACTTTCATATGTATATACCAAGCACAGGTCCTATAGAAGTACCGGTGAGTTGGGATGTGCAATGATTGGAGCTTGCCGGGTTTGGCCCGGTTCGAGGGGTTGACAACTTGACACGTGGGGCATGAGCGAATGTATGCTTTGACGTCGGCGACCAGGGAAGGCCAGTAGAAGTAGCGGGAGATGGTGTCGAAGGTTTTCTGGAAACCGAGGTGTCCTGCAGTCTTGACGTCGTGGTGCCCGGCCAAGAGTTGAGTACGGAGACCACGTGCGTTGGGGATGCAAAGTCGGCGAGTGCCTTTGGTATCGATGTAGATAAGGTTGTTGTGGAGGGAGTAGTCGGGAACTGGGTTAAGATCGTGGATCTTGTTGAAGATGGTGGCGAAGTCTGGGCAAGAGAGGTAGCCTTCGGTGTATTGGTGATGGAGTGATGGGAGGAGTTGGATATGAGTCATGGCGGCGTAGACTTTCTCGGGGGGAGAGGGCATCCGCAACGCGGTTGCTTTTGTCGGGGGTATGGCAAATGGTGAATGTGAACTGGGCAAGGAAGTCTAGCCAGCGGGCTTGGCCTGGAGTGATATCTTTCTTGGAGAGGATGGAGGAGACGATGGTGTTGTCAGTGCGGATGGTGAAGTATTGCCCGTCGAGGTACAGACGCCAGACTGTGAGGGCATGAATCACGGCGAGGAGTTCCTTCTCGTTGGAGGGGCAATTCATCTCCGTGGGAAGGAGCTTCTTGCTTGCGAAGGCGATGGGGTATTCGCCAGGAGGAGCCTCAGGGTGAGTGGGCAAGTCCTTGATGGAGGGGGTCTCGGTGGTGTTGCGGGGGAAATGTTGGGACAGTACGGCTCCATTGGCGAAGTCGGAGGCGTCAGTGGTGACATAGAAATGGCAAATGGGGTCGGCGATCTCAAGGACAGGGGCCGTGGTGATGCTTTGCTTGAGTAAGTCGAAAGCGTGTTGGCGGCGATCGTTCCAATGGAAGGGCTCGTCCTTGCAGGTGAGTTCGTGGAGAGGGTAAGAGTTCTCGGAAAAGTTGCGAATGAACGGGCGGTAATAGTTGGCAAGGCCGAGGAAGGAACGAAGTTGGAGGAGGGTCTTGGGTGGGGGGTACTCGATGAGGGTTGTTACCTTCGAGGGGTCCATACGGATGCCTTCAGCGGAGACGATGTGGCCGAGGTATTCGACGCTTGAAGCGGCATGGCGTAGAATTTTTGCTCTTGGAGGATCGAGAGGACTTGGCAGAGGTATTGAAGGTGGGACTCGAAGGTGGGGCTGAAGACAAGGATGTCATCAAGGTAGACGATGACGCGGACTTCGAGGAGGTTGCGGAAGATGTGGTTCATGGAACCGAGAGAGGAAGGCGGTCTTGTGGGTGTCCTCCTCGCGGATACGGATCTGGTGGAAGCCACTGCGAAGGTCGATCTTGGTAAAATACTTGGCTCCATAGAGACGATCAAGGAGCTCGGAAATCCGAGGTAGGGGGTACTTGTTCTTGATCGTGATCCGGTTCAAGGTGCGGTAGTCTGTGCACATTCGGAGTTCCGAAGTTCCACCTTTCTTGACAAAAAGGCAGCTGGTTCCGATGGGGGATGAACTTGGCTTAATGAACGCTTTTTCAAAAAGTTCACTGAGTTGCCGCTTCATTTCTTCAGCTTCGGGGACAGAGAGTTGGTATGGAGGGCGGCAAGGTGGAGAATGTCCGGGTTCCAAATCGATGGTATGGGATACGCCACGATTCGGAGGTAGTCCGGTGGGTAAGGACTCAGGAAAGACGTCCTTGAACTCATCGAGGATTGAGTTGATAGCGGGGTTGGAGGGGGGGCTTGATCGGGTTTGTCTGTCGGGAGTAAGTCCTCGGGACTTTCGCGATCAAGGACAAGACAGTAGTAGGCGGAGTCGAGGTTTAGGCGAGCCATGTGGAAGAATTGGTGCAGGGTGACAGAGCCTTGGGAGGTCGGATATGGGAGATGGGCGATGTCGATGGTTGTGTCGAGGGGGGTGGTGAGGCGAAGGAAGTTGGGGTGGAATGCGTATGGCATGTAGCGGTCCAGCCACGGGGTTCCTAAGACGATGTCGCACATCAAGTGCATGACATCAAACGAGACCTGACTGCGGAGGGTTCCGATGGTCATGGTGGTCTCTGGAACCGTGCGGTCTACTACGATGGTGGTGTCTTTGTACCCTAGGCGAATCGTGATAAGGGAGTCATAACCGGTAGAGGTAAGACCGACTTTGCAAACACACGCGTCGGTGATGAAGTTACCGGTGGCTTCAATGTCGAGGAGGGCCCGGAACTTAGTTGTAGATGCACCAAGGGTGGCATCGATGAATTTGAGGTGGAAACAAGATGAGTTGGCGGTGGAAATGATGTTGTCGAGGCGGCGTTGTTCGTTGCCTAAGCGGACAAGCCGATCGTGTCGAGCTTATTCCTCAACAACATCGGAGAAGGTGATTGTGGATGGGTTTGGAGGAAGGGTAGAGGAGCATGAGGCAGTGGGATGCGTTTGCGACGCTTGGGAGTCGTCCGGTGGAGGGAGCATCACCGGAGAGGGGGGAGGCGGACTAATTGTCGATGCCAGATGAGCCATCGGTGGGACGGAGGACGTCGCTGACGGGTGGACCGACAGGCGCGATATCGATGCCGGGACAATGTCCTGCGATTGTGTTCATGATGAGGAGGGACCCGCGCTTGCCGAGGGCGGTGATGTGGAGGTTGCGGGTCGAGTGGAGGCGGACTGGCGAGTGAATTGTGCGGCGTTGGGGCAGGTGGTTTGTCGGTGACCCAATTGGCGACAACGGAAGCAGCCCCATTTGCTTGGAGGTAGGTGCACTCCTCGGGGGTGAGTTTCTTGAGGCGGGAGGGTGGGGTAGATGAAGGTGGACGGGAGTTGCGATCTCTGCACTCCATTCTCATGAATTGGAGGACATTGAGTTCGGGAGTGAGGGATGAAGAGTCGAGTGAATCAGAAGATGCGTCGAGGTCAGGCGTGGTGAACTCGTCCGAGGAAGGGATGGAAGGGGTGTCTTCAGGGGTGATGTGATGGAAAAAGCGGGTGCGGGAGGGGGCGGGCGCGGGCTGGTGATGGGGGTGGAGGAGTCGATCGTGGTGAAGCATGCGAGAGAGGAGGTCAGCAAGGGGCATGTCGGGTTTGTGGGCGAGGGCGGTTGCAGGGTCTTTGTGGCATAGTCGTTTGATGTTGGAGATGAACGCAAAGTCGGGAATGACGGTGGTGGGGAGGTCGTGGCGGAGGGAACGGACATATTGGACGAAGCGGTCCGTGGGACCGGTCTGGCGGAGGTGGCAGAATTGTTCAAGGTAGTCATCAATGGTTTTCTGGGGGCTAAAAGTGGCAGTGAGAAGGTTGGCCCATTGGAAGAAGGTGTGACGTGGTCCTCTGGAGGCTCGGCGGTTGCTGACTTCAGCCATCCACCATTTGGCGGCATTGCCGAGGAGGCGGGAGGGGGCAATGGGGAGCCAGTGGGCAAGGTGCAGGTGGTGGAGGTGAAAAGAGTTTTGGAGCTGGGTTAGGAAGAGGAAAACGTCCTCATGGGGGAGGTCGGAGAAGGACATGATGTCGCCGGATCGGAAGGAACGGGGGATTTCCTCGTCGCGGGAAACGATCTGGGCGAGGGTGTTGAAGTTGAGGTTATCGGGGGTGGTGTCGTCGCAGGTGTAGTCGAGCTGGTTGTTGTCCTCAAGGAGGTAGTTGGGGGGGAGTTGTGGCATTGCGGGGTAAACCTTAGAGGTGACTTGGGGATAGGTGGGACGGATGGTGGGGATGGTGGACGTCGTCATGATGGGTTGGGGAAGGGTATGAGAGTGTGGGGGGGGAAGAGGGGTGACGTGGATGGGCAAGGAATGAGGTGGTGTGTTGGATGCGCCGGATGAGGGGGGGGGGGGGGGGGAGGGTGGAGGAGGTAGAGGTGGTGGATGTGGTGGTAGAGGTAGAAGGAGTGGAGGAGGTCAGCAGGGGGGTGTGGCTGGAAACGGCTGTGGGCGTAGGGGTGGTGGTGATGACTACCTGGATGGAGGGGGTAGTGGTTTGGGACTCGAGGGCGGTGGATGTGGGCACGGTCGTAGAGGTGGGTGCCGTGGTCGTGACCACTATGATTGTCGGGGTTTGATGCTCAATAGAGGTCATACGGTTGGATAGGCCAAAGATATTGGCTTCGGTTTTGGTGATGGACGCGTGGATGTCCGTTTGGAAAGAGAACATCATGCGAATGAGGGTGATAATATCGGCTGCAACGGGCTCGGATCTTTGTTCGCCCGTAAGTTCGCGAGCGAGGCTGTCAACAGACTAGGTGTTGATGGCGGTCATATTGATGCTGGAGGATTGGGCCATGTTGGGGGTAGATGGAGTGGATGCGGTGGCTGAGGCGACGACTGCCGATGAGGTGGAGGCAGACACGGCGGCAGCGGCAGCGGCGGCGGCGACGGCGGCTGCGCGTTGGGAGGTCTTGGTTTGGCATGGTGGCATGTGGAGATGTAGGTGTGGCAGGGGTGGGGGTGGGGAGGGTATTTACAACATGAATTGATTTATTCAAAAATAAGTAAAGGTTTTTGCCAAAACGATAATGAATAAAATGAGAATTAATTCAAAATAAATTATTCCGATTTGGAGTAATTTACTCGAGATTAATTCAAAAATCCGAAAAGGATTTCGCGGGAGAAAGGTTGGAAACACGAAATTTTCAGGAATGAAATAAATTCAAAAATTTGAAAAGGATTTTGCGGGAGAAAGGTTGGAAACATGAAATTTTCAGGAATGAAATAAATTGTAGTAACCCTGTTCAGAAGTAGCCTGGGGCCCAGAACTCAGCCCCAGGCAACGCAGACCTGAGTTGGTCTGCGCTGGCCCGAGTCTGTCGCATATGGTTGTGTGACCAAGACACGCCCAGGCCCGAGTCTGTCACATATGGTTGTGTGACCGAACGCTGCACACAAGAAATTCAAGGGTCAAAGTGAACTGTAGAGTCAAAGGTACCACACCGAGGCCCTTGGTTGGATACACTCACTTGTTGTGCGCAGGTACCCAGACAGCATCCAGGCCAGAGGGAATTCGGTTTCAGAACAATCTGGGCCCTCGTTTGCATTGAGATCTGGACGGTTGAGGGATGCAGCATCCAGGGTCCAGACCCGGCGTCAACGCTACATAAGCGCTGACTTCCTGGCTTTAACATTCATTCCGTCTTGCGTTGATGCTGACTTCACGCGTTGACTTCAACGCTGGCTCGACGCTGCAACGCTGGCATTGTGATTCGGTGAGGTGCTGCTGGTCCGGCATGGTGGCTGGCTTGCACCTGTCTTCTTGGTATGCTGACGTGGCAGCTGCCATGCGCTATCACTGATGTGGCCGCTGCCACGTGTATCATTCGCTGACGTGGCTGCTGCCACGTGTTGTTCTTCTATTTGGGGATGACGCGAAGCTACGTGACTTGTATTGTTGTTCTGATTATCATCATTCGGGAGGAGATAGGGACTGTGGAGAGACCGTGGATACATATCTGGTTAAAAGGGCCTTTACCCGATTCAGACCCTGTTCGGCAAATGCAGCATAGAGGGGTCACCCGCCAGGGCCCAACTCGTGAAAGCAGATCAAAGGACATGTTCTCTGGGTCAAAAGTCACATCCTAGCTAAGTAAAAGCCAATGTCAAAGGTCACAGTTGTGCCCTGTACGAACAGCTGCAATATCTAGATTTGGGAGTCATATCTGTTCGTCCAGGGGGTGAGCAGGTCATGTCTGTTCAGGCAAGAGATGTGTTTGTACGTACAGTATGTGTCTGTTCGTGCAGTATAGGTGTCTGTTCGTGTAAAATGTATGTCTGTACGTATAGCAGATGTGTCCTTTCAAAAGGAAGTCAAAAGGTTGAGTCCCAGTCAGGATTCCAGTCAAAGGAGAAGTCCATATTCAGGTTTGCAGTCCGAAATTGAGGCCTTTGCAATCCGAAATTGAGGCCTGAAGGCTGCAGCAGCAGTGGACCCTGAGGGAAAGGAACTGTGGCACACAGCACAGAGGCTGGGACTGGGAAAAGGACCAACAAAGACTGAATTCAGACCTCGCCAGGGGAGGCCAGCACTATAAGAAACGAGGCAGCCTCCCCACAAGGCAGATTCCCATGAGCATTGACGCGTGGAAGTGCTGAGGCACTTGTGCGCTAAGGTGCAGGGAGGAGCGCTAGCTGAAGAGGAAGCTGCGCCAGAGGAAGGGAAGCTGCACTGGCTGCAGGAAGCCATAGCTGCGCCAGACAGAACTAGTGCTAGTAGTAGTATTGGCAGGGTTAGTGTTAGGACATCAGCGAGAGGCATTCTGAGTAGATCCTTGTATACAGGGAGTGTGCATGTTAGAAGAGACAAGGAGAACCGGGGCAAAGATCTTGAGAGAAGAGAACAAGGGAGAGTGAAGACAGGTGGAGACATTGGTTATGGTGGGAACTTACCTGTTGGCGCCATTCTTGAGATCTGGAACAAGCGCTGGCTAAGCCAGCCTCTGTATGTATGTTGGAACGAAGGAGAGACTTGCATACTTTGGGCGCTCGACTCTTGAACTTGGGATACTCTTGTATAACGTGATTCTTGATAATATACGTTGCGCTACTTGGTTCTTCTCTCATCTCAACATTGAGCTTTGTGTGAAACTATCCTACCTGTGTTTGGTGACATGTGTGCATGTGAATGAGACACTCCAGCAAGTGTGAACAGTCAGGTTCCTTGCATGGTTGTCTTCATGTCGACATTGCTCCAGCGCTGATGAGGGACTGATTAGACGTGCCACATGGCACATTGAGGTTACTTCAGATACTCGTTCAGACTATCGACTATCGAGGTGGTGATCGAGGAGGGAGCACGAAGTAGGAGTGGGCCTTGTATTCATTTCCTCTCCTTTGTCTAATCTCCCTCCTCTCTCTTCGTCTGTGTATGATTATCTCATCTCATTCTGTCTGGATAAGATTTTAACTATTGGTAATCATCAACTGGTTGACATTCATCCGGGCCTGCATTGTTGACGACTGTCTTCACGATCTGGGTTCATTGCAATTTGGTATTAGAGCAGTTCTCCTGACGACGACGGTTGCACGTGTGTATGCGCCAGGAGGCGCATAGGTAAGTATAGTGCACACGTGTGTTGAGTAGGTGATGACGTGGCAAGAGATACGCCGGGGGTGCTGACGTGGCACAGACTTCAGTGGCGAGAAGACTTCACTTGCGAGAGGAGATCCCAATGAGGCTGCTGACGTGGCAGCAGGGACCGGGACCAAGAGATACCGCACGCCAGCCTGGATCGCGATAGTGACGTGGCATCGCGATCCCCTGCTGATGTGGCATATGTTGTGCCGCGTCTGAAAACCTTGTTGATTGATTGCTGATGTGGCACTTTTTATGCCCCTGATGCGCGACAGGGTCTACTGCAGATGCTGACGTGGCCTTGGAAAACACAGGATTGATTGCTGACGTGGCAGGAAGCAAGTCATCAGACCCGTCTTCTGAGGTGGTGATTACCTGCTTACGTGGGATCGGGCTCCTTGGCTGACGTGGAATTGTCTGACTGGCTGGAACGGCGACGATATCGCGACGTGACGCATGGAAGTGGCACATGGGAAGGATCAGAGTACACATTTGTTGACGTGGCATCCCCACCTCTAGTTGATTAGATGTGCTGACGTGGCATGATCTGTTGTGTTGGCACTCCAGGGATGACACGTGGCAGGCAGGATTACTGCCAAGTAAGAGAAGCATTCTGAAAACGACGGCGGTACAGCTAACTAAACCGACTATACAGCTGTAGTGCCAGCTGTCAGGGAGAGTGCAACATCGCATTGACACTTGGACGACACAGAGGGAAAGAAGAAGAAGGATTGCTGACAAACTATTTGCTGTTGATGTTGGCATACTTACCTTGCCGTTTGCTGTGTTCTGGTGCTGTGCGTACTTACTTATGTGTTGTATATGATCACACGGGTCTAACGTGGTATCTGTACAATCTTGATTAGGACGTCATCACACAAACAGACAAAGAACAGCAATACTTAGGAATATAAATAATTATATTTATTTTCTCTTCGGTTGTTAGAAATCTTGTTGTTGTAGATCAGTGCGGCCGTGGAATTTATTATTGTTTATTATAAATTATTAATTATTTATTGTGCGGCAGACGCACATCACGATGTCTTTTCTCTGGAATTCTCTGGAATTCTCTGAAATTATCAGTGCTCACTCGTTTTATTCCACTTCTCTTCTATCCAGTCTCATGTTTGCTGTTGATGAGGAGACTCCCGACCCCCGAACTAAGCAGCAAGTGAAAGAGCGGAAAAAAGTCTTGATTGCCCGTTTGGACAAACTGATTTCTGAACTTCATGATGCCGGTGAAGAGGCTGAGGCTCACGTCCGGAGCCTGTTTGATTTAAAGGCATTACATAATGCTATTGAATTGGCTGAGACAGGCACCGACATCATTCAGGTTCAGGATATACTAATCAAGTGTCATCAGGCACTTGATAAGTATATCATGTGCAAGGAAAATGAGCAACAGCGAGATCACAAATCCAGATTACACAATCACATTGAAAGCCAGATACTCACACCGTGTCCAGAGAGCATCATTGCACCAATAATACACCAATGGAGGTTCATAGTACTGAAAACAAATGTCACAGAGAGCTTTCTCTCTCCACACCAACACAAGGTTAACTTGGAGAAATGTGAGGATCTGCGTCCTCGGCAGGCCTAAGGGGCCCCGGTTGCAGTGATGCCCGCCCTAAGTGAAGGCTGCCTCACACTCTTTTGTCCATTCCCAAGGGGTGTCAAGTCGAGTTAGATCTGTTAGTGGGGAAGCTATAGTACTATAGTTCTTCACAAACGTACAATAATAGCCCGTCATCCCCATAAATGACCTCAGTAACAGTCTGAGGTCTGGGCCAGTCTCAAATGCTGGCCACCTTTGCATCATCTGGCCTCAACCCATCTGCTGAAATTTCATGACCCAAGTACAAGATCTTGGTGCGACTAAACTCGCATTTCTCAAAGTTAACCTTGTACTGGTGCTGTCTTAGGAGACCTAGCACTATTTTCAAGTGCTCAGCGTGCTCCTCTACGGTCTTACTAAAGATGAGGATATCGTCGAGGTACACGAGGATAAACTTACCTAAGTGCGTGCTCAGCGTGCTCCTCTACAGTCTTACTAAAGATGAGGATATCGTCGAGGTACACGACGATAAACTTATCTAAGTAATCATGAAAGATCCTCTTCATTGCGTGCTGGAATGTCCCAGGAGCATTGCATAGGCCGAAGGGCATCGCCACAAACTCGTACAGACCGTACGTGGTCTGAAATGCGGTTTTGTGTTGATCCTCAGGTCTAATAGCAATTTGATGGTATCCAGACTTTAGATCTATCTCAGTAAAGTGCCGACATCCCTGCACTCTATCCAATAGGTCATCGATGTGGGGTAGGGGCTCTGCGTTTTTAACAGTGATGGCATTGAGACCCCTATAATCAATGCACATCCTCAGGGTACCTCCCTTCTTTGGGACAAATAGAACTGGCGCACCGTAAGGGGAGGTACTAGGCCGAATCCATCCCTTCTCTGTGAGCTCC